TTCCAGTGTTGGAGCACATAAATGAATACCTCCTGTTCAGTCCTTCCTAGTCTAAACAAATGCTGTACTGTGCAAAAGGAAGTAAGGAAACTTTTGGTCTTTCACATGTACTGCAAACACGGAGGTCAAAGAGGCACTTTTCAGTCCTCTCTTCAGCTGAAAAGTCTGTGGAAGCAGCTTGTTGTGACGAATCCATATCATCTGCATACATTTGCTTTCTTATAGGTAAATGTTTTGTTTCTATTCTTGCAGAGAGAAAACAGCCCTTCTTAATTCTTGATCAGCTGGCTATAACACAACATCTCATCACCATGGCAGAAATGTCTCCAGAGGAAATTCAGATGAGGGCCAACCAGGTCACTGATGAGGTAAATTACTTACCAAGACTCTTTTGGTAATGATTTGTAATCTCTGAGAACAGTAAGATGAGTTTTGAAAAGAGCGGGCAAGGCAAAATCAAATATCCTAAACTTGCAGCTTACCTGGTTTGGAAACTTTAGCTGCGATGACCAAAATCTTTCTTAAACAGGTGCCTGAACCTAGGCTCCTAACTTGCCTCTTGGAATCTGCCTGACTTTAAAGAAATAAAAGAGCAAAGCCCCCAACAGCTGTCACAAGGGTGAGAAAAGGTTCAGCACTCCATCTGGTAAACTAAGCTGGTTCCTAAAGATAACATTTTAAAAGCCTGGATTTTGAAAGCATTTGTTCTTGAAAATTTTGGTTTAGCTGTAGTGTAATCTTCATCGACTTGCCCCAAAGTGCAGCTCTTATTGCAGAACATGGCAGTAATCAATGCGGTCTCTGACCTTAGCAAGTACTAAGAAATGAGCTTGACTCATGGAAAAGAATTTGAAATCATTATAATCCTGACAGGTTCTTAAAGTTGCTTTTTACATTGGCAAAGTTATTGAAAGTTGGTGTACTTGACTATTATGTTGTAGTGAGCTGTTTAATGTTTGAATAATTTGTTAATCCTCTTACAACATGAGCTTGACCAAATTAAATTTGCTTTCTTTCTAGTCTTTGGAAAGCACGAGGAGGATTCTTGGCTTGGCTGTTGAGGTAAGGAAATGTTTGAGTTAATCCAAGGAAAACCTCATTTTTCTAGAGTAATGGTGTATTTGGAGAAAATGTTTGATAAGCTTTTGGGCACAAAGCATTATTTGGGTAACTTTATGTAAAAACAAGCTCATGGGCCACATGAAGCATTTGAAGCTTATGAGCTTGTTTCTTCCTCCTCCTTGTCGAATCCATGCAAAGTGACAGTAGTTTGAGAGAGACTTCATTACTAGATATTTAACAACTTGGATATGGAGAAGAGAAGGCTCTATATACAATCTACTTCTCAACATAGGTTTCATGTATGCCTAACAGGTTGAAGAGATTAACTTCCTCCTAGCAGACTTCCTGTTCTGCAAAGTGGTTTGTGCTCTTGAATATTGTAGATTGTAAGGTATAGGCAGCTCCCTGTTTTGGCTGGGTGGATCTTGTGTGAACGATCATTGTAGTTGACACATATCATTCCTTTTGTTTCTAACTGCACTGAAGTAGTTTGCTGCTTTGTGAACAGATTTTTTTTTTTTTAAGAGGAAAGAGTAGATTGCAAGAATAGTTAAGTAGTTAGTTCTTGACATAGCTTTTCCAATACTTTTGGGTTGTCTGGGTTTTGTTTTGTTTTTAGTATTAAAAAAAGTTTGTTTTTGGTTTTTTTTCCTCTGTACTGACAGGCATAGAACTGACTAGGCAGGGTGACAATGACAGAATACTCAGTCACTTGTTCAAAGACTGAAAAAACGGGTATCTTGGGTGCATAATTTTGGATTCATAGTAAGTTTGGGGTTTTTTTGGGTTTTTTTTCTTTCCGTTCTGAGATGATGGGGAGACCTAAAACAATAAAGACTTGAAGATTTTCTTGCCCCCTTGGTTGAGAGGAGCTATGAGGACCTGAGTTGAGATTCAGGAGATGATACAAAATGGGGACCTATGTTGGCAGTCTCGTGCTGCCAGACTTCGTAGGAAAGGAGAAAGAGAGGCTGGCACCAGTTCTTCTGATTTTTACGCTAGTGTAGGATGTTGAGTACTAGAATCTGGTACTGATACCAGACTTCTTCTGCACTTGTAGTTCAAAGTTCCTTTTTTTAAAAAATACCTTTTTAAGCAATCATCAGAAACCTAAATTTGCCTTGGCATAGTATGTTTTAGCCTAATAAGCTCATGCTAAGCTATGGTTACTTAAAATTGTGTCCTTAATGCCCACTTTTAGAAACTGATCCCTTCAGACACTGATTTCTCCAGTGCCAGGACTGTTCTTGAGTTTATCTGGCTCTAAAACTGAGAAGAGGTTGACTGATCCTTCAAACAGCTGATGCAGGGTCCAGAGACTGAACTTAGATTGGGCAGTTCTCTTGCAGCAAAATTAATTTTTCTTTTTCTGGTCTCAGTGAAGGCCTCAAACATTAATCAGTAGTGGAAAGTGAAGGTTATGGGGGTAGAATAGGCTAAAACCAACTTACTAAACACAGTGCATCCATGTTTCACACTTTAAAAGAGTGAGTCGGCATGTCTAAGAGAAGACGTGAGGGAGGGCAGATCAAGTTCCCCACAGTGAGGGAGGGAGTAGGGCTGGGGCAGGGGCTGCACAGCCAGGGCAGGGCACAGGACAGTCGTGGTTGCCCGTCCAGGGATGGAGGGAGGGGGGTGGCTCCCTGCTGCTGTGCACACCCCCGGAGGAGGCATGTGGGGGGCCCCCCCTCAGATTTGTGCACAGACTGAGGGTAGGCTGTGGGATTGGGGCTACACCAACTTCTTCCTGGCTGGGGGAGGGCTGGGCTGGGGTGCTGCCAGGAGGAGGGGGTATGGGGTGGGCTACATCCACCCCAGAATTTGCCATAGCCACCCTTGCAGCCCCCACCCCCACTGGGAAGGAGCTGGTACAGCCCCTGGCCCTGAGTCCACAGTGGGTAGCCCACCCTTGCCCTGTGCACAAATCCATGGGGCACATGCCACCTCCCCTCCCCCCTCCATGCTGCCTGTGGGGGTGCACAATGGCGGGGGGACACCCCTTCCCTGCTCTGCCCCACTCCCTCCAACACCATCAGGGCCTTGATCTGCCCCCACCATGCCGTTCCTCGCCTACAGACTTACCAGCCAAATGCTGCTCTCCAAGCTGCCGGGCTGCATATCGGCTATCAGACTATTTATGTCTGGTTAATAATCGGCCATTGGTATTGTCCAAAAAAATTCTTTATCAGTGCATCACTGCTTTCAGCTCAAGACTTCTAAAACGCTGCACAAATATTTGAAGAAGACTGGTAATAGCAATGCCATTTCCACCAAAATTTACAGCATTGTCACTGCAAAAATGTACAGATTTAGAGGTCATTATTTGTCAAGTATGTGTCTCTCATGGAAGTGATGTAATTCTTCAGTATAAACTTCTATAATCCAGTGTTCTGTTGTAGTTCAAAGATGGATTGCATTTTTCACTGGCACTAGAGTGTTTTTACTTTGTACTTAAAATAGCTTTTCTTTACAGTCCCAGGATGTAGGAGTCAAGACTATCACCATGCTGGATGAACAAGGAGGTGAGTTCTTGGACACAAAATGGAATTGTGAATATGGAGTCTTGCATGGCTTGCAAAAATTGGTACTAATGTTTTTATGGTGTCCACATTTATCAGCTTTTGGCTTCCTTAATTCTAATTGATATAGAAAGGCAAGTAGGATATTCCTGTGTTTTTGCTTTTGGTTTAAAGTTAGCCAGGGACAACAGCCAAATAATGGTGGTGTGATGTATCCTTCCTGAGAACAGGAATTTTGTGCAACTCTTAAAGTAAACACAAAATGACAAAAATACTA